CAAGGATATTTTTGGTATTTTAAAACTCTCCTCTCTCCTCTCTTCTCTCTCCGGCCACCGTCCTCCGGTGATACCACTATGATACCTAAAAATATTGACTTTGTTAAACAAAAGATACATTGTGATACCTAATATTATATAAGATGAATAGTGATACCACTGTGTTACATCTTCGATCGACCACACAAACGACATGAATGTGATACCCAAACACATATATGATGCATTGTGATACAATTGTAGTATCACCGGAGGACGGTGGCCGGAGAGAGAAAAGAGGAGGGAGGAAAGTTTTAAAATACCAAAAATATCTTTACATTAATATTTTAATTCAAAATTGCCAAAATTATAAATTTCATAATTTATCTATTGATTTGTGGTTAATATTGGTTCTCACAGTTACCACAAATTAATTAGTTCTCATTTGATTAAGCCTATATATATATATATATATATATATAGGGGAGCGTTCAAATAAAAACCACCTAATTTGTATAAACCGTGAAAACCACATTCAATCAATCATAATTTTTAATTTTGTTTATTTTTTTTTGTAATTATGAGAGGTTGATTAACCATTTTTATTGTGGAGGGTGTTAATCATGGATATTATCGTCTTCATTATTTTAATTTTAGAGAAATACATGAAACAGTTTCATTAAAATTTCATTAAATATTATATGAAACAATTTCATAACCATATATGAAACAAATTCATCAAAAAAAGTATGATATGAAACAATTTCACAAGATTAAATAATTTCATGAAAAAATTTCATAAGATTAAACAATGAAATGGACGTATGAGTGTGGTTTGTACGGTTTACACAAATGAGGGCGGTTTTCATTTGAACGCTCCCCTATATATATATATATATATATATATATATATATATATATAGGTGAAGATCATTTCTTACGTTTTTCACCTTAACTACTCTTCTTACCTGATATATATATATATATATATGATTGAGTTACGGTGAGAAGGAGAGTTAAGGTGAAAAGTGTAAGAATCATTCACCCTTGGATACGCATTATGATGAGATGCATCAGGTCAATCACCGTATCAAACGTAATTCATTGGTGAGTTTGAGATTAAAGGTAATCAATAGTCCAGATCATTTCTTACTCTTCTTCTCACACGATGTTTCATATGCATACATACGTGTATATATATATATATATATATACACACACACATACATATATAGAGGGAGGTTAGATTGCAAATCGCTTATTTCATGCAAACTATAGAAACCATTATCAGCCAATAGAATAATTCCATGTTTTTTTCTTTATTTTTAATGAATAAGAATATGAATGTCATTTTAGTTTGTAATGGTTAATCTTGGTATGTTTTAATTATTTTTAAATATGGAAAATAAAATATAGTAATTGTTTTGTAAAGAAGCTATAAATCAGTTTGTTTTAATATATAATTAATACCATTAATAGTTTATATTTTTTTTATTAAATTATACTCCTAAAATAAGAATTGTAAAACTATACTCCAAAAATCAATTTGATTACAAATAATTAACCGTCTAATCATGTTTCAATAACTATAAATGAAATAGTGAAACAATTTCATATAATGCATAATAAGTGTAAACCAATCGAGTTTATATTCTTTTATTAAATTAAAAATACTACATCAATTACAAAGTCTATTTGTAATAATTTATTTCTTATGAAATCACAAGTAGTTACTGATTTATTAATAATATAGTTATGATATTTTTCAGATTTTGAGTATATTGTTTTATTTTCATTCGTAAAACAAATGTCATTAATGAAACCATGTTATACAGTTTTCAAAATGTTTAAAAAATGAAACTAATTTCATTTTGGTTAGGTACTATGAAACTACTTTCATTAATGAAATAATAGTATTCATGTTCTGAAATGTTTCATTGACTAAACCATATTTGGTTTTATTAATAAAACCAATTTCATCTTGGCTATAAACCATGAAACCGATTCCATTTTGGTTAGGAAATATGAAACAAATTTAAAAATGAATGAAATATTATTATTCAGTTCTTGAAGTGTTCCATTGACTGAACAATGTTTAGTTTCATATGTAAAACCGAGTTCATCTTGGTTAAAAACCATGAAACCGATTTCATTTTGGTTAGGAAACATTTTAACAATTTTCACTGCTGAAACAATGATATTCAGTTTTTGGAATTGTGGAGTTCATGAAACCAATTTCAATGATGAAACGAATTTCATTAACAAAAACATGTTATTCAGATTTTTGGAAAATGTTCCATTAACTGAACCATATCTGGCTCAAATTTCATGATACATACGAACAATGAAACAAATTTCACTAACGAAAAAAAATGAGATACAGTTTCTAAAATGTTTTTATTGATGAAATCAATTTCCAAAAATAAGACGAACAATGGTTTACCAATTTTGTCCTTTCTTGATTATATACTAAAACTTTTATTTTATTTTTTACTTTTCTAATATAACACATTTTAAGCATGACCATTGATCAAGAAAATAGATGAATGAGATTAGTTTGTAGCGTTTACACAAAAAAAAAATGGTTTGCATTTGATCGTTCATCTCTCTCTACATAAATGTAACTTTCTAAGCAGTTACAACCCGTGAGATTCGGATTGGAATTGGATTGTAGACTTTTAACGTTATAAAGAGAATAAAATTAGTGATAATCTAGCATCCTTATCTCCCCCAAGCTTTCAATCTAGCATCTCAAGGGAAGAGACAACTCCGTTATCGTGATTCATTCATGTGGATACCGTGGAAGTAATGAATTGTGCTTGTTTTGATTCGAATACGATATCAAAAGGTTGTTGTTGGTCGAAGTAAAAATTTCGGAACACCATTCCTACCCGGTTTCAAATTCTTGGATGAATACATTTAGTTTCCGTTGTGTGTATATGATTCCAACAATTAAATACAAAACTTTGACAACCTAGCAAGTTTTATCCTTATGATTTAAGAAACGGTAACTTATAAGAACTATCCCATGTGCAAGCTCAACTCGTTTACAGGACACGGCAGTTTAGGACAACTTACCAAAACCACAAGGGCGGTAGTGCGGTGGATAAAACAAGACGATGATAAAATCAACCTAGGTTCAAATCCTGCCATCTACTTATTGGCTTGTGACCATTGGAAAATTTACTTCACGGTTGTGGACAAAGCCTACAGTCATGACTTGCTATGTGATCAGTCCGAAGTCTGGAATCACTCATTTCTAACTCGTAAAAAAAAGATTTGGTTATGTCAGGCCCATTGAAAACGAAGTGCGGTTCACATCCGTCTAATACCCCAAATGATCACCTCTACTATGAACGGAAAAATCAAAGAAATCTAGCAGAAACATCATTTCTTGCACTCGCGCACATTGCGACTCGAAGCTGGTAGTAGAGAAATGGCTGGAGACGGTGATAAAAGGGAGAAGAGGAGAAGGGGGTAATACAGGAAAAATGAACCTCTGAATGGAAAAGAGATGGCCTCAAGCCGGTGTAGTCCCTGCTGACTGATTCAAACCTTTTTTTTCTAAGCAAACAGCATCCATATCTGACCTAATCAGATGTGGATCTCATTAAGATCAAAATCAAACCATCTAAATGTTGATGGTAAATTACTAAATTCAGTTGGGGATATTCTTCATCCTTCCTAAATATGAACATATCAAACTATATAAAAAGAGCCTCTTTGGCTTCGATCACATATTTCACATCAAACTTCTGTACCGTGTTACATTTTACAATAGTGTTTTTGTTAATATACTTAGAGGGCATTTGGTTTGATGGAATGTTTTTTTAGAGATTTGAATTTCGGAAGGATTTTGAATCTTTAGTGTGTTTGGTTTGTGGGATTCGAAATGAAATTGAATTCAATACTTTAAAGATAATTTATAAAAACAAATTATTAAAAAATATAATTACCTTTTATTAATTAATTATTGCAAAATAAATTTTTTAACATATTTTAGAACATTACTACAAACAAATTCTGTAAAATCCTATGAAGTACCAACTTCCCCCGTGGGATTTCTAAATCCCTCAGTTGTGGTGTTTCATTGAAATCCAGGGATTTCAATCCATACTTTCCTTCAAACCAAACACATAATTGAAATGGAATTCAACTCCAAATCCTACCAAATCCCGCAAACCAAATGGGCCTTTAAGGAATTTATAGTAACTGTAACATTGATGAGGAAATTAGAATAAATTGCCACAAGGCTGAAAATGAAACCACAGCTGCCAAAACTATAGGTTTTATCCATCAGACTCCAACACGCCCCCCCTCCAACGGAGGCTAGACAGGACAAATGGTCCCGGTGTGTCGAGACTCTAGAGTGGTATACCTTGGTGTAATATCATATGAGAATATGTGAAGCCCTATTAGATTATTCTCCAAAAGAGCCCTTGGAGAAAAGGGAGGTCCCAACATATCTTAGGAGAAATGGTCCAAGCCTAGCCGATGTGCGACTCCAACAGAAAGAATTTAAGTTCCATGGTATGGTAATTGGTAAGTCAGGTAATTCAATTGATTTACATACAGCTTCATTACATAGACTTACTTTAATGTGAGATTATGTACGTATAAAGACATAAATAAGCAAATAAAAGTAAGGTAAACAGGAGTTGAGATAGTTGACCTTGAGTATTCAGCCAATTCAGCTGATGGAAATAGGTGTTCATCCTTTCAGAAAGAAGCTCCAGAAAGTGGGTTCACAACCAAAAGCTAACCTGAACACCCACCACCAATGGCTATTTAATCTCAAGAACTTTACTCCCACATAAGGACCTTAATCTGTTGAGCCACAACTCCTGGGGCTGAATCCCAGCTGCCTTCATCTGATAAAGAAACTTAATGGCTTCAATATGACACCCATGTTGTATGAAACTAGAAAGCATAGCATTCCAACATGCATTATTTTGCATTCTTCCATTCATATAAAAAACCCTTTTCGCATCTTTAATCAACCCAAATTTTCCATACATGTTAACCAACCCACACTGCACATAACTCTTGGATGCTAGTCCTGATTTAATGGCATGGGCATGGACCTGTTCACCACAGTTTCCATCATCACTTATCTTGGAACATGCACTAAGAACACCAGAGAAAGTAAAGCTATTTTTCCTTATACCCTCCTTCCCCATTTCCTTAAATACATCAAGAACTTCATGAAATCTTTCTTTCTTGCAGTTGTTATTGATTCTAGCTGTCCAAACCACAACATTACGACGACAAGAGATTTGATCAAAAACTAAATCCCCACCATCAAAACATCCAATCTTCCCGTAGAAATTGATCAACGAGCTACTCACAAAAAGGTCATCCGAGTAACCTGATTTTAGCAACCCACCATGGATTTGTTGCCCAAGTTTCAAGTTCAAGGTGTTTGCACAAGCCTTAAGAACGCATACCAAAAGCCAAGAAGCAGGGAACCTGACGCTACTATCGATTAAGTACCGGAGTTGGGAATTTATAAATAGTTTGATTACTTCCTCGTAATCACCACTATCGGTATAAGCCGCAATCATTATCGCCCAAGTGTTAAAATCTCTTTTTGTCATTTCATCGAACACCTGTCGTGCATTCTGTATACACCCGCACGATACAAACATGATCAAGATAAGATTAAGCAATGTTAAACGAGGTTGGTTGCGACGACTACGGATAAAATGTGCGTGTAGCAAAAGAGCCCCATCAGCATCGCGAAAGTGGGTGCATTCTTTGATAAGAGAAATGTATAACGCATCGGGAACGGGAAAGCCAAGGCAGTCCAACAACCGTAGAACGTCAGAGGAAGTGGTGGTTTCCGCGGTGGTCGATATCAATTTTCTCGTCGGGTTCTTGACGAGTTGGAGAATTTTCCGGTGAGGTCTGTGTAGGGGCAACGACAACCGGATGGTGGACGATTTGCCGCAAAAACAAGCATGCCATCGATGGGTTTTGGGATTATGGGAAGAAAAATTGAAGTTGAAATTACATAATTTCGATATGATTTCCATTAAATTTATTAAAGAATCATCGCATGATGATCGTTTCTTGAAAACAACATCAGACGGAGAGACGCGGCAAATGATTATGGCTATCGTTTTTAGGTAATGCAATAACATTTATCCCCCCCATTTTAAATATTATAATTAAAATTTTTAAAAAAAAAGTAATTAATTAAGAATAATCATGTAATTAATTTTATATTTTATTTTAGTGAACATCTTTTTTTTTTTAAATTACATAGAGATAATACATTAATTGGTATTTAATAATTATTACAGCAAAATCATATGAGGAACAAATAGGTTGATTAATGTAGACATGATCATCGTTGGTTTTCGATTATCACAACATTATGACATCGTTGTCATAATAAATATCATATAATTATCACATCAGAATCACATATAAACAATCTTCAATTTATCACAGTATTATCACATCATTATCGACAACGGACGCAACGACATTAAAAGTCTCCAAAATATAAGGGATAAAGATAAATCTAAGATAACAGAAAATTATGGATAAATACTACTTTATTTTCATTTATTCTATTTTTATTATATATTAATTAATTTTTATTTTTATTAATTTTTTTTATTATGTGTTAATTAATTTAGAGTCCTAGAAGTGTTTTTACAACTTTATAAAACAAGAGTATTCTCATTTGAACATTTCCCACCATATTTACACCTTTTGGGCATCAAATTTAAAAATTCATCAAAGAGAGTAACACTATTCATTTAAATAGGGATGTTGATTTGCCCTGACCCAGTAGGTGATCCGGTTCACCCGACTCGAATGAGGACGGAGATTCCCTGCTAAAACGGTTCCCGGGGTCGGGACCGGGGGATGTTACTTAAAACGGGGTCGGAGATCCCTGGTAGAAAAAAACTAAAGGATATTATTTATGGGGATTGACCGGGGATTCATAGAGGTTTGACCGAGGACCAGGGGATGTTACTACAAACTAGGGCCGGGGCCGGGGATTACAAAACTCGCGCCATTCCCGCCCCGCTGCCTTGCCTACATTTAAATTAAATTTTACATGAATCACATAAAAATAAATATACCTAGAATTTTAATTTTGTAGTAAGATTTAGTATTATCAATTGAAAAGATTCATTATTTACACTAATTATATGGATTTGATGTAAGAATTAGCTTACCCGTTGAATATGCCATATATATACTAGCGATAAGTCGGGTTAACCTTCGTCTAACTCAATTTCAACCCTATTAATTGACGGCTTAACGGGTTGGATTAATTGGGTTATTTGCGGGTCGGGTGTTCAGCGTTTTGGCCGGGTTTTTGGACGACCTTAAGACCAGTTAGAAGGCCACAGATAACCACCCCCTATCAGTTACACATTTTGCACTAAAGACCAAGACTGGTTATGCTTGAGACCAGTTAGAAGTTCACAGACAATTACCCCCTATCAGTTACACATTTTGGACTAAAGACCAAGATTGGTTATGCCATAACCAGTTACATGATGACGTGTTTTAATTGAGGCCCGATCACAACCTGTTACTACCTATCTCTAAGCACAACTAAGGGGCTTTTTACACGAACACTTACCTGGTAAATACTTACACAATAAGTGTTTATCCATGCAAGTGTTTACCGGTGAAGTTCAATACCATCACTTATTTTACCGAGTAAGATTTTAGTCCATTAAAACGACATCTTATGCAACAATTTACCCCAGTATGCACTAATAGGGTAAGATTCGCAACCATCATTTACCGTATAAGACTCTCGGTCTTTATCATCACTCTTACCAAGTATGATTCTCGGTCTTTGCCATGTTCATCCCGTAAAGTAATGTGACTTAGGGATGAGCTTCCCATACAGTTTTTCCGAACCGATCCGATCCCGTACGAACCGATACCGAATTCTCATATTTGGCTCAGTATTCGGTCCCAATAATCCGTCAATTTTAGGTTTCGGCATTCGGTATCGTGATTATACCAAAAAAACCAGTACCGAACCGGGTAACTCAAGGGGCATTTTGGCTATTCCAATTCCATCTCTATATCCTAACTAATCATCTTTTTTCCTAAAACTGAACCATATATTCCTAAATAAATCCACCCCTTCTCCCTTTGAATTCAAAAATCGCACATAACAAAAAAATCCCCCCTCATGTTTTTGTCAATCAAGAATGATAGAGCGCCCGAACATACGGATTTTAGTATATGCAAACAAGTGGTCGACTTTCTAGAGAAATTCAATATTAAAACGGAAATATATCGGTCAATTCAAAGTCCCTAGCGAATCTTTTTTTAGAGAAATTCTAGATGTATAGAAACAACGTGTGTGGGAGGAGACGGTCGATTTTTGTTTAATGGCTTGGGCGATGCAAGAAAACTACGATAAGTATTGGGGAAGTTTGACGAACTGAATGACTACGTATTTTGCCGTTGTTGGATCGTATAATGAAATCATCATTTATTGGACATACGTTTAGAAAGATGATTATGTATAACATAATGAAAGAAAATCCTATGTATAACATACTTCATTAATTATGTTTTACGATATTATTCTTTATGAATCTTTTGTTTTTGTTAGATATTTTGACAATACAAATTTCCACCGTCGCATCAAAGTAGGTGTTTAGCACAAAGGGTCATGTACAAGACCAATATATGTCATCTCTAATGTGACTTGATAAGTGCTTACCAGGTAAGTGTTTGGTAAATGGCCCATGACACAAATCGTTCACATTTGGTTAGTATTCATAATAGAAACTATCTATCCACAACAAAGCCTAAACCAACACCACCAAAAAATGTCCGAAAGAATTCCTTCGGTCCAATTCAATCGACACACGACAATCAAAAGCAATCATGATCGTTCTAAGTTTAGAACGTACATCCCTTGATTGTTCTAAGTTTGTCGTTAAATTGTTCCGATTTCCACCCTTCTTGGGGACCATCCTCTATGCATTTTGCACGTAACGATTATATTTTCAACACGCTATGGATACATTTGATCAGCAATCTGGACGAATTCTATGAGGTAAAGGTCTAGCTACAAGACTATCAGTTACCCAACCTGCAACCTCCCCATCATGTTTAGCATGGTCGAATTCCCGTTCCACGTATTCTAACGATATTTGCAGCATTCCGCCTGGACTGCAATCGTCAGAAGTGCTTACGAACTTTAGCCCCACGTTTTTCTCCAACCAGTAGAGGTAATTCACATGGAACATCGACTTGAGCATATCTTGCGGCGAACATGTATCTTTCACTATCACCTATTTAATTTTCGTAAATTATTACTAAAAATGATATAATAAACAAATGCAGTAAACCAGACCAAATGAACCCAATATATCCCACCTGGAGATTGGCTTGGGAAGAGTGAGAGCATCTCTAAGATGTACACAGATCTGACCTCTATCCCAAAGAGTAGAGCGACTGTTTCCATAAATACCCCTGGGTTGTGATAAGTGTGAACGGGAATTGTAATTTACTTTCACAATTTAAAGATAACGTGAACCGAAAATGGAAGTTACTTACACAAAATTTGCCATCATGCTCGGTCAGGATGTAGCCTTGGTGTCTATACAAGTTGAGTAATGCGTGAGCATCCGTTCTGGTTTTGACGACATCAGAGAGCTTTGATCCCAGCTGTAGACGTTGCTCAATGGTTGCAGCAGCATCTTTAGCTTCGGCTGAGAGTATTGTATGCTCTGCCTGGAGGGAGAAAAATGAAAAACGATCTGTTAATCTTATTCCATGTTTTGCCTACACGTGCACTAGCGTGAAAGTGGCTTAACCCTCGTAGCTCGAAAAAATGGTTGGATTGTTGTTCTATTACTTGCATACTCATGGGTACCATTGAAATTTTATCACAAAAACATACCAAACAAGCTGATATGTCAACATACACACACACAAATATGTTTCTTTCCACATTAGAGAAAATCAACAGTATCGTACAAATAAACCACCCATCTGAATACACACATATATATACAGAGGTGAGTTATTATACAACCTCTTACATTTGTACAACCAATACAACTCAATCTGAACCGTCCATTTAATTTGATGAATATGTAATTTATAGAAGTTTTGATTATTTCCTAATATAAAGTATTAATTATAATTAATGATCAATATTCATATTCCATAAATATTTAAATCATAATAAATGAACTCTAATCATTTCCATAAATATTTTAATTTATTGGGTTGCATTGGTTGTACAAATGCGATAGGTTGTATTTGAAATAAACCCTATATATATATACACATACATATATATATATATATATATATATATATAGGGTGGTTTATTTTATAAACCATGTAAATCTAACAAACAATACAAACCTCATTCAACCAATCATTTTTTCTTCACTTTTTCTTAATTATGAGGGTTGATTAGTCACTAATATATGAAACAAATTCATCTAGAATATACAAGGGTTGATTAATCAAGAATACATGACACAAATTTCATCAAAATGAGAAATACATGAAACAATTTCATTTTCATATAGATACAAAAATATATGAAACAATTTCATTGGTTTGTAAGGTTTGTAAAATAACATTGGCCTATATGTGTGTGTGTGTGTGCGCTTGGAGGGAGAGAGAGGGGGGGGGGAAGTTCCATTAGGAACCTAACATTGGTTAGGAACCCGAGAACCACCCTCAGAGCGCCACATGTCCCTATCCAGGATGAATATTCATCATGAATAACACATTAATGATAAATATGGACTTGTTTGAATAACATGATGAATATGTTACATTCATGATGAATAACTACTCTTGATGAATATGACACGTGACGTGCTGTGGGCGTTCCCCTAGTTCCTAATCAATTTTAGTTTCCTAACTAATTTTAAGGTTCCTAACTGAACCTGCCCCTATATATATGTGTATATATATGTGGCACAACTTTAGAAACCAACTGAAAATGGGTTCAGATTCATTAATGAATATCAAATGGATCATCTATAGCAAGAGACGGTTAATCTGTGACTTACTTTGCTTGCTGGCTTCAGACTGAGAAGTGGTAGAGCAGGGAAAAAGGGCTCTTCATCATTGACCTCTTTAACAGAAGGAATAAGACCACTTAACAGATATTCACCAAAGACCAAGCCTGCATAGTAGACAAAGAATATGAGTTCAGCATGCAAACTAGTGAAATGGTGTAATTTTAATATAATATTGACAGGACTAATGAAATCTTTCCGTGCTGTCTTATGCATACTTTCATTCACTTCAAAAAATGGCGCTATTAAATCTTTTTCCAATCTTTAAGTTCAGAAAAAAGGTGCCAAGTTGGCCCTTAGTAGATGCGAGATACAAAGCTTTTGAATTTCGTTCTTTAAGATGACTAGGCATTTTAAATATTTCAAAAAATAATAGAAATACTAATGCAATTAAACTACTTGGCTTCCGCTAAATATCCAACCTAATTTTCTATTTCTTCCTTTTCTTGGATATTCTATTCCGTTACAATGTAATATCATTATCATGTTTTAGGGGAGACGACCCTAGAAAGGATGGGGCATAAGTATCAATTCCAATATGTCATAATCCATAAGATTCAAGCACTTGAAGGATCACCATATGCATTCTTCAAATATTTAGCGTATGTTTGGTACACAAATGGGACTGGACTAGACAGGCGAGAATGAGGTAGGCAGGGAAAGAATTGTGGGAGGTTTTAGGGTGGGTAGTTTAGTAATTTACCAATCTTGTCTCATCTTTCTCACTTTTGTTCCACCTATTTTGGCGGGACAAAAAAATGCAATTTTTGTCCCACACAGTCCTGTCAAACACAATCAAATGTCGCGCCAATCATGGGAAAACAATTTTTTGTTTTGTCTTGTCCCGTGTACCAAAAGCACCCTTAACGTTAGAAAACATACAAATGCATTCTTGCCATTAGAATTCTAATACCAAAGCATCATTTGTCATATATAGCGTGTGTATACCATAGAACTTTTCTTAAAGACAATATAGCACATAAGCATGTTCCATTAGAGAGATTAACGATATCAATACTCTAATGTAGCGTTTGTGTCATGTAAATGAACTTTGATTACCAACATGACAAGGTTTCATTAAATTGAAAACAGATGTGGAAAAGAAGTACTTGCACGATAAGGATTCAAAGTCCTTAATTGAATGGATTGATAAGATTTGAGATTGCAGAACATGTGGACCCAAGTCACTACACCAAAAGCAGCAAGAGCCAGAGGTGTTGAAGATTGTATGCAATTAGCTAATGCTATTCCCAGCATTATACCAATAGATTTGCTCACCATTCCCTGAGCTTCACCCTTTGCTATTACCTACCATTATAAAAAATTTATTCAGAACGATGTAAAACAGCCATACCCATATGAAGATTGAAATAGACATTAATCAAGTTTTCATTATCTAACCAAACAAGCCTAGAATATAACACCCCAAGGTGGGTCTGGGAGGTGTGAGATGTACGCAGGCCGGACCTCTACCCTCAAAGAGTAGAGCGGTTGTTTCAGTGGAGACCACCAGCTTGTGGGATATCGGACAACAATAGAAATGGTATCTGACAAACAAGTGTAAACAACAGGAGAATTACCTCAGCAAAGTTCCTCCGAGCAGCAAAGCCCGCAAAGAAACAGCTTCTGGTAGCAGCCTGTCAGGTAAAGAGGTCAACTATATGGACATGAAGATTTAAACTCCCTAAATACACCGGCCATATTTGGCAATCATAATTCATGAGACGGCTTTTTTTAGCTTATTGAAAAAGTCTCTTTTTGATTAGACATATACTAGCTAGCTTTTTTAAAAGCTAATTCAAGTAGCGTTTTAAGAACTCCAAAGGCTTTTTTCCATTTTTTCCATTATGAACTTATATTTTTCCAATTATTTTCAACATGTCCTTTTAGATTATTTTATGCTTTCATCAAGCTTATCAACTAGTTTTTACCGAACGTGACTAGTTTATCGGCTAGATTATCAGCCAACAGCTAGCTTATAAGCTAGTTTGCCAAACATAGCCACCATCTATGCATAAGATGTCGAAGTTATGAAACGATTTTGAAATGTTATATATGCTAAAGCAAAATAAACCTCAAAAGATTTTTTAATATAATAATTAAAGAATCTAAATTCTAGCTTCATGTCTTCATTGCCAAACATAGCCACCATCCATGCATAAGATGTCGAAGTTATGAAATGATTTTGAAATATTATATATTGCTAAAGCAAAATAAACCTCAAAAGGTTTTTTTTAATATAATAACTAAAGAATCTAAATTCTAGTTTCATGTCTTCATTTTGTACAACAATGGAAGCATCTAAAGATACGGGATATTTTCAGAGGAACACTGGAGAACAGTTTCTTATTGCCATGATAGAACACCGTGATTGCATATATCAAAATGGAAGTAAACCACTTTTGAGAAATCACTTTGACAATGCCTAAAAATATAAACAAGTCCATTCCATCATAAAAAAATCATTTATGATATCAGGAAAGCATTATTTTAATATATGTCTTCGAAATGAAGGATACCTGGATAAGTGCAGCTGCAGATCGCCCTGCTCCAGCAGCAGCACCAATAGGAACAAAAAGATGGGGAAAAGCAGGAGTCAAGATCTCCAAGCCAAAAGCAGCATTTTCCATAAAATCAGCAAACAACCGCCATCCTTTTGGATTCACATCAAAATGCCGCCCAAACTTTGACAAAAAGATCTTGCTTAGATAGCCAATTCCATCCTTGAGCACCCAATTCACGGCGGCAGCAGTTGGAATTGCTCCTTTCCCCAACCCAATCGCATATAGCAAAGACTACATGAAACAAGCATGATCTAGTTAAACCACCGAACAAACTCAAAGCTATGCATTGCATAATGATGAAGTTCGGCTCAACTTCCAAAGTCAAGGGATTAATTTCATGAATTCAACTCTGATTCAGCAATTTTTTGGCAACAAATTCTGCACCAGCATGCTTCTGTTTGTTTGTTATGAATGTTAATATGGTAACCTATTTCCTCTGTAAGAGAATTCTTAACATATGGTGACAAATTGTGGCTCTTTTCTTGTTTCCTGACCAAGTGCGTGTTATAAATCCATTTGAAATTACTTATAATCAAACATGCTTATAAAATCATATGCATATGTCCCTTATCCCAAGTCAATAAGCATAACAAAATTCAATTCTACTTTGAGCAACCCTACAAATTATCGATTTTGTACCACTGTTTTCTTGTTTCCCGACTAAGTGAAGTGACTCATGACCCAACTTGCTAATAAAACCAAACACGTACGACACCCTCATCCTACCAAAGAAAATGTGACTTTAAACAATCTTGAATGATCCCAATAATACAGAACCATTAACTCAGTCAACTATTTCATCTGAAAGAGTCTCCTTCAAGAACATAAACCCAATAAACTAGATCTAGTATGGTGGTAATGCAAGCATTCCACTAGCTATTTAGTTCTTCTAAGTAGTTAAGATAATTCCTATAAAATTTAAATTAAAACTTAATCTTTTTAATCTCAGAACTCAAATAGCACTTCCTTTCTGGAGCAGAGGGACATTACTTATAACTAAACATGATTATAGAATACAATACATCTCTAAACGAAACATGGTTACGAAAATACTAGTACATACAAGCCCTTAATCCAAATGGATGCAGAATTGAACACTCCCCACGAACCATTAACTCTAATAATTCAAAAACAGAAACTCAATAAACTAAAAACTTACTTGTGTGGCAAGAACACCACTAACTTGAGCAGCAACTCCCTGAACGCTTCTCCAGAGAGAGTACTCCAAATAATCACTAGTAACACTATCTGGATACCCTTCAGGGAGCATCAAACGCATGAAGAGCTCCCTGCATTGAACCCACATATTCGGAATTATATTCCCAAAGGAGACCGTCGATGAAGTATTGGATGATGGCCACCAAGCCCATGTTACAGATGGAACAACAAACACGTCTCTGAAATGGTCAGGTATGAGTTTTGTTCTTTTACCTCCTTTCACTTCCCAAACAACTTCTTCTTCGCTATCGCTAGTACCGTTTTCGCTTCTGGAAGCAATTGCGTAAGCTCTAGAAGCGGATTGAAAGAGGAAAGCGAAGCATAGTGAAGAGAGTAATACATAGAAGAAAACCTGTTTTCTGTGTGAATTTTCATTTTCATCGTCATTATCACCATTGCCGTCACCAGACCATCGGTCCCACCAATTACCTGAACCGCCGCCACCATTGGCACCACCACCGGAACTTCCAGCGACGAGAGGAGTATAGGATGCGGGAGCGAGTAATTTCTGCCGGAAAGTGCCGAAATGCGAACGGGAAGGTAATGGTTTCCATGGCTCACGAAAGCTTGAGATTCTGGTGGGTATGACGGTGGCCGAAGTGGTGGTGTAAAGAAAGGTGGGACGGAGTGAAAGGGAAAGCATCAGCGGTCTGGTGATCGACGGTGGCGGCGCCGGCGAGAATATCATGCTTTGGTTGCAGAAGTCAAAATCCAAACTCCGGAGAACGGTGGGTTAAACCCTGTTCGGCCGTGCCAGCGAAATTAAATCGACGAGGCATTACATTTTTCCTTGTTTTTTCATTTTACAATAAATTTTTTTAATTAAAATTAAGAGTAAATTCGGTTTTGGCCCCTAAACTTTGTTCATTTAACAAAAATTGTACGGTCCTTTGAACTTCATTTATTTAAAAATTTTGTCCCTGACATTTTGCAAAATCTTTTGGTTTTGGTCTCTCTCACTAACACATAGCAGAAACATAAGAGCATCTTTGGGTAGGGGTGTTCAAAAACTCGACCAACCCGATTAATCCAACAGGAAATAACTCAACCCGATGTCTAATCGAGTTGTAAAATTTTCAAACCATAGGTATTTGGTTGATATTGAGTTGCTATTATTTGAACTCAACCCAACCCGATGAACCCGACATCCTTTTATTTCTTGAATTTAATATGATCGTTAAATTTCTATTAATATATACATTAGACAGTTACACTATCACGCACGCTCTTCATATACACATATTTTCAATCTATTCAATCTCTAAATAACTCATTCGTATATATGTTCAGTAACTATGAATACATATATGTAAATCGAGAAAATTAATTGAATGTGATACACGTAAGAAATATGAATAAGTTGTATCAAATGGTTGATGATGAAAAGAAATTATGATTAGAAAAATAACATATTCAAGGTTAGAATAATATTTTAATGTATCAAAGTATCAACCCGACCAACCTGTACGGGTTGGGTTGGGTTGCATTTTGGTTTGGGTTGGGTTGGGTTGGGTTAAGATTTTTTCAAACCGCAAGTATTGGGTTGAGTTGTTCAAATGTTTTCAACCCGATCAACCCAACCCATGAGCACCCCTATCTCTAGGCATGGCAACGGAGCAGGGATGGGACAGGTTTTGTAATCCCCGGCCCCGGTTCCCGGCGGGTATGGGGATTAACATCCCGGCCCCTTTTAAAAAAAAACTTTTTGTTAAAAATAATAACTCAATTTCATTGGTGGAATTAAATAAAATAATCATTTCTCTCTTCACCATCAAGTTTTAAGGAATTCTCTGTATATAAGTCTTGTTTGTTTTTCATAGAAAAACTCTTATCTGCCTCTTATGTCTGATTTCTTAAGAGGCAAGGTCATTCAGACTGTTTGTGTTTTTCAAATTTTCAGATGCACTTATGCCTTATTTTTCTCTTATCTAATAAGAGGTGTTTTATTGTTCTTCAAATCATCAACAACGATGTTTTTCAATCGATTAACCTTAATCGATCATTTCTCTCCACTGATCCTTACCAAATCAATCATCATCTCTCTCAATTAATGTATTTCAATAGGATGTAAATGTGTTTAACACCGCTAATGACATATTTTCATTTAAATGAATGTTAATTATATAATTTATATGTAAATTTTATAACGATAATGAATAAATATGTGAAATTGTATAGATTTATCTATACATTCAACACTATAAATTTTAATGGGTAAAATAGACAATTTAAACAAATTCAGACGTTTACCAGTTACAAAAACAAACAGTTTTATTGATTCAGATTTCAGACTTCAGCACCACCTCTTATAAATCAGAAGTGAAATAAGATTTTAGACTTCACCACCTCTTCAAAAACAAACGTCACCTTAGAGTTTCTTCATGATTCTCTATTTTAGATAAACAAGATAGCAAAGTTGTTAGAGCATTTTAGAAAACAAAAACTCATTTTTTTTTTCTATTTAGAGAAGCTGTTGAAGATGCTCTCAAGATCTCTAAATTTAGAGAAATCTCTAAAACTCTATATAGGAGAGAGAAATAATATTTTAATTATTTCACCAATAAATGTTTAGAGGAAAATAATATTTTAAAAAAGTGTATTAAATATTTTTAGTAATATAGTTATTACTAGAATTATTAAAATAAAATAGTTGTTAAAGTTAAATATATTTTTCCTTAGAGATTTTGATTTTTAATATTTTATTTTAAAAATATATTTACTCTAAAATAAATTTATATTGGATTCAAAATTCTCCATCACTTGAGACATATTTACAAGATTATTTATGAGGGGTTTGAATTTTACGAAGAAATTTAGATTTAGAGGAATTTGGCTTGAAATGGATTTGTAAATCTTTTATGTATCTGGTTTTATAGGATTTAGAATGGATTTAAATTTCATTCTTTTATAAATCATGTTTGATTTGTAGGACTTGGATTGAAATTTAATTTTTTTTTGTTTATACAGAATTTGTTTTTATTGGTAAATTACCTTTTTGGTATTAATTTTTCAAAAACTGTATGTGGATTGGGGTGTAAAAAAACAAAGAAATATAATTTCCGACGGATGGGAGCGTCCACGGTATTCCATCATAAAAATATTTATTAAAAAACATTATTTTGATATTACTGGTGGACACCCCCATCCACCAACAATACCAAAAAATGTTTTATTATTAGAAAAATAATAAAACATGATTTTTGTATTATCAGAAGACACACCAATCTGTCGGTAATACCAAAATCATGCTCTTTTTTCTAATGATGAAGCATTTTTGGTAGGGTTTTTCCAACCCCACCCCTCTATGGGTGCATGTGAGGGGGGTGAGTATGTGAGGGTGAGAGTGAGAGAAAGTTGTGAGGGTGACAGTGAGGGTTGATGTGAGGAGGAGGGGTGAAAAGTGATGTTGGGGGGGGGGGGGGGGGATATCAACCCCCTTTTGGTATTATCCACAAATAGGGATGTCCCATGTAATCCATCAGTAATATAAAAATCGTGTTATTTTAAATTAAAAAAATAACTAACTAACTTTGATTGATTAAATTATCGACGGATTACCAAGGGATTTTAATTAAAAAAATTAATTGATTAAGTTCCGCCTAATCCATCAATAATTTTAGTTTAATTAAAATTAATCATATTTTAATAAATAAATAAAATTTGCCTATCCGCTGGAAAACTAACCGGAATTTTTTTTTTCAATTTTTTTAAATAATCAGTGACGGTTTTTGGTAGGTTTGTGATGAAAGTCAATGAAAGTTGATTTTTTCCATGTCCATCGGTAATCAGCCGGTAATTTGCTGGCTGAAAATCTGCTGAAAAAAGTCATATTTTTGGTGGTGCTGGAGATCTTCACGTATACACATGTTAAAGAAGCGAAATACTTTTTATGAAATCCGTCCGGATTAGGATTTCAAACACCAACCTTCTCCTAAGGATTTCCAAATCCATCAAAAAAGGGATTTCAAATGAATCATATGATTTCAAATCTGGACAATACTGCAAACCAAACACATGATTGGAATGAATTTAAAATCCAAATCCCCCCAATTCCGTTCAATTCCTGCTAACCAAAAGGACCCTTATAGCATTTCCAATAGATTGTTTAAAAGTTCTCTAAAATGAAGAAAATCAAAGTTTAAAATCTACGAAATATGTATTCATATTCAATAAATTATTTATTTTACAGATTACATAATTAATTATATTGTTAAAATATTCTATAGGGAAAATTGCACCAAAATGAAACCAACTTTCATCTAATTTATATTTTGGGGAACCAACTTTTAAAATCGTCATTTTAGGGAACCAATTTGCATCTGATTCCTATTTTGGGGAACCAACTTGCACCTGATTCATATTTTGGGGAACCAACTTTCAAAATCGTCATTTTGAGGAACTAACTTGCACCTGATTCATATTTTGGGGAATCAATTTGCAAAATAATTATAGAAAAATAACTAAAATTCGTTTTTTTCAAAAAATTAATGCAATAAAATCTATTTTTCATTCCAAATCTCGTTTTTTTTAATTCAGATATCAAATTGAAAATTTTAAAAAAAATTCCAAATTACCACAATAAAAATTGTTTTTTACTAAAACAAAAAAATCAATTTAATAGAAAAAAATTAATTGATGCAATTGGTTAGATATAAAAATCTTGAATATGATATTAAATGTTTATTTTTTATTGCATCAATTAATTTTTTTTATTAAATTGATTTTTTTTGCATTAGTAAAAAACAATTTTTATTGTGGTAATTTGGATTTTTTTAAATATTCAATTTGATATATGAATTATAAAAAACGAGATTTGAAATGAAAATTAGATTTTATTACATTATTTTTTGGAAAAAAAACAAATTTTAGTTATTTTTCTATAATTATTTTGCAAGTTGGTTCCATAAAATAGAACTCAGGTGCAAGTTGGTTCCCACAAAATGACGATTTTGCAAGTTGGTTCCCCAAAATAGAAATCAGGTGCAAGTTGGTTCCCCAAAATGACAATTTTGAAAGTTGGTTCCCCAAAATAGAAATCAGGTGCAAGTTGGTTCCCCAAAATGACGATTTTGAAAGTTGGTTCCCCAAAATAGGAATCAGGTGCAAGTTGGTTCCCCAAAATGACGATTTTGAAAGTTGGTTCCCCAAAATAGGAATTAGGTGAAAGTTGGTTACATTTTTTGGTGCAATTTTCCCTATTCTATCTATACTATCTTATTAAGCAAATTTAGCAAATGTCTTAAAATCTTACAATACTAAATGACCAAAATACCCTTTATACTCACTTTTTCACTTTTTCACCCCCTTCTCTCTTCACGTATACTCACCCCCTCACATACACTCACCCCCTCACAACCTATTTTTTTTTAAATTATAATTTTAAATTTACACTTTATACCCCTATAATTAATTAACTAATTTACTTTACGTCCTTTACTTTTAAATGTTTCATTTTAAATCTTTATCAAATTAACATACATAATCCTATATTAATTAAAACATATTTAAAAAATACATTTTTATTTTAACAAGTTACACCATTATAATCGTCTCGTTAATACCTTCGAAATGAATCCAATATCTATACTATCTTATTAAGCAAATTTAGCAAATGTCTTAAAGTCTTAAAAATACTAAATGACCAAAATACCCTTTATACTCACTTTTTCACTTTTTCACCCCTTCTCTATTCACATACACACACTCCCTCACATACACTCACCCTCTCACAACCTATTTTTTTAAACTTATAATTTTAAAATTTACATTTTATACCCCTATAATTAATTTACTTTACGTTCTTTACTTTTAAATGTTTCATTTTAAATCTTTATCAAATTAACATACATAATCGTATATTAATTAAAACATGTTTAAAAAATACATTTTTATTTTAACAAGTTACACCATTATAATCGTCTCGTTAATACCTTCAAAATGAATCCAATATTGAATAGTTTTTGACTTAATTATATTATTATATATTATATATACTGTGAAAAAATATTTTTAATATTTACGATTTATACTTTTATAGTTATTTATTTATATATATACTATATATTTTGGGGTTAGGCTGTCCAAATTGCACTGTATAATATGTTTTGAATTAATGTGTTCTTGGGTTTTTTTTTTTGATATATATATATACATGTATTAATTCAACCTTAATCTGAGTTTCTGGACAAGAAAAAGGGTAAGCAGTTGAAATTTCATTCTAAAGCTCATCTTTTTTTGTCTTTTCATGGCTTATGATTTGTTAAATATGTAGTTTTCTTTATTGGTTTTGAGTGTTTATCTTAAAACTTAAGTTTTTTGGTTCTTTGCTCTTGGTGTAAATCGAATACATTTGTGGAGTCGTTTAAATATGTTGGATTTTAAATATATTAGATTTTAAATATATTGGATTTTAAACTGTCATACAATTTTTTTCATTGATTTAAATAATATGTTAGAACAAAAAATATCGAAACTCTTTATTTTCTCCATTTTAAAAAAGTTGTCGAAGATGTTACTACTAAAATTTGGTGGGTTAAAACTTATATGAATGGAGAATTTATACACAAATATAATTTCCTACATTAATGCAAGAGTTTTCAAAATACGACGAAATAAATATTTACATAATTTTCGGATTTTTATCCACCATACATATCTTATTTTTCTTTGCTAGTCTGGTTTTAATCAAACAAATGACAAAGTCATGTATACTGATTGGAATTCTGTATTTGTTTTAAAATTTGTTATATGTTAGCATCAGACGGCAATAAAACATAATGATATCAAAAGAGAGTTTGTCGACATTATATTATGAAGTAAAGTATCATAACGAGGAGAAAAACTATTTGTGGTCCCAAAATTTTTCGTCCGTTTATTATCCACCAATGAAGTAGATACATATCATCAAAGAGAGAAGGGAAACATGGACAAATAAAGTTATATTAGATAAATTATTGATATGCGTTTACCTTATTGGTAGGACATACATGGGACAACAAATTTTTATTTATATATAATCGGAGAAATACTGACATTTTCACTTTACGTCCCCCGAGTTCTTATGATAGACAAACAAGCCTACCATTTTCACTTTAGTGACATTTTCATTAAGTATATTTAATACATCTTTAAAATCTATGACTTAAATCAAAACAATCTGAATCCTTGATTGTCTATCCATCTGGTTGTTTTTTTTTTATTATTCTATGCATTTAAAATATATATTGATAAAGAAAGATCAATACAGATTTTACAAGATTGTTTGCGGAAAGATAAGGTAAGAATAATCTATCTAAACAATCTAAGTTACACACTAATTCTTAGGAAATAGAGAAAAGATTTCCTGTAATACACTTAGAAGGATGCTAGTTCTTTCTGGGTAAGAACTATTTAGAATATAATAAAGGGATTCTAACTTGCTCTTGAAGATGAGCGTATTGTGTTCTTTTACTTATGAACGTAAGTTAGGGTTTAAGAGTAAGTATCAGTCAAGAGTATCTCTGCATGGAGATAGAATCATAGAACACATCTATTTATACCAATTACACTAAATGCACATTTAATGCAACGTGGTAGGGTTAGAACACGTGTCCAACCTTTAGAGAAAGACTTGTCATTTGCTATAGTGAATAATACAAAAGCCTATTCATGAGCAGACATCCTTTCACAAAGTTGGTGGGTCGTAGAGTCAACTAATCGGCTCCGTACCGTACTATACTTTAAAAAGGGTATGGGTTTGTCCTTTGTGTGTATAAGGACAAGACAAAAGTAATCGTGCTCAACAAACTTCTTTTGATCGCTGAATGCTGGAATAACCTGAAGGTCTCTTCAGCATTCGCTGAGGCTTGGGCAGTCTTCACACATATGTAGACCATGTTGTAATCACTGAATACCGCTTCAGATCACGTACTCGCCAGTCTCTAATATTCAGTTTCAGTTTTCGACTTTAGTTGAAGGTTCTTTGGTGTGAGTTATGTCTTCTTGAAGTATCGCTGTCGCTGATGGATTTACATTACATGTTCTCAGCGATCACTGAACAGACTCGGTGATGATCGTTGGAACTGAAAGACAGAAACATAAAATATTTCGTATAAGGTAAAAGAGATTATCATCAAATCACTGAAAGAGAGGATCAATCCTCGTATTTTACTGTCTTATTCCAGTAGCATTAATTCTTTCCCCTTTTGGATCCATGCATTTCGAGTAGCATTAATTCTTTCCCCTTTTGGATCCATGCATTTCGTAGTACTTGATGGCATGTCATCCTCGATGACTTTGGCAATGTTGTCTATCGATCCATATCGCATCATATCTGTATTGTTCTCTACATTTTCAGATATCGAAACTCATCCAAATCAGACCCAACGCAAAATAACAGATAAACTACGATGAAACAAACTACTAAAGCAGGAGGAACACAAGTACACTACCAAAGTTACATATTTGTATTCAGTTAAAAGCCATAGAAACTAATCTCATTCATGTATTGCTTCATGGTTCAATCCAAGTAGTAGCTAGCCTTACAGTTTTACAAGGTTAAACAAGCTACAAAACATCAACCCTCTTCCACTACAAACGACCCGATGACCGTTTTTAAGTAACCGTCAAACGACCTGTTTGTCCGAAACATTTCCAAGACGATTCAAGTCGCAACAAATGCAACTTCTCCACAAACGGTTCCAAGATCTCCGCCTCTTCTTCAGGTGCAAACGCCATGCAAATGCTTAATTCTTGAACCGCCTCTCCATATTCCCTGCCATTTACCCAAAACCATTTCGTCAAAGGGTATATTTACCTAAATGACCTTCTTACAGGTTTTTAGGCATTCTTCTATTCAGTTGTGACATTCTTAAAAGCTCATTTAAACGGAAGAAGAATGAAACATCATACCTACTGAAATACAACATCATGCCATGATCTCTCCTCAAAGCCCAATTATGTGGCTGCAAGATCAGCAGTTTCTCCGACGCCATGATAGCCAACCTGAGGCAATAGAAAAGATACGGCATGCCAAAACAAGAAAAACCGACTCATTTACAGCACAAGTTGAAGCTATGTGCTACTATACGATCTTAGTTTCAAAGCCAATCGAATTAAAGTATCCAACAAACTGTCCATATTCGACACTTCTGAATACCAATGCAATAAAATATTTATCTTTTGAGGAAAAACCGGTAGCTGTACCAGATTCGGTATTCAAAGTTTCGGAGAGCATTAAAAATGCAGGATACTTAATCTCTAATCTAAACGTACAGCGTATAGTTCTAAATAGAAGCACGAGACACGATACACACACGCACACACACACACACACACACACATATATATATATATATAAAGCTAGTTGTTGCCTAACAAGCTAACTGTTAACCGAAAAACTAGTTGTTGGTTAATAAACTAGTATTTAGCTGATAAGAAACTAGTCATGTTTGGAAAAACGAGCGGATATGCTAGATGACAATGTAAAATGACCTAAAAGCACATGACGAAAAATTAATTGAAAAATATATAAAGGGCATAATTGGAGGAAAATGGAAAAAAGCACCCGAAGCTTATTGAAAAGGCTACTTCAAGTAGTTTTTCAAAATGATAGTTTATGGCTAACGAAACATGGCCTTTTCAATAAGCTCAAAAAGTAAGCTAGCTTATGGTTGCTGAACATGACCTAAGCCATTTAAAACTAAGGCATGGACAAGCTTAAATAGCCAAGCATGGTAGATATGCATGCCAAGCACTGCAATCAGAAATAAAAGTATTTCAAACGGTTTTTTGCGCCCATTTTCTATGAACACGACATTTATCCATCCATGGGTTAATTTAAGCTCGAAATTAGTTCACGCACGGATGGACACTTGGCATGTTTCCAATGGACTATACGTTAAAACTTTCATCTTTTTCTTGTTGATTAACATCGGAAAAAACTGGGGATTATTGGTCACAATTTAACAAATTCTCCTCTCAATTCTCATGTCAATCTTGAAACCTGTAGGGAAAACAGAAAGAAGTGCCTAAATGATTAGGAAAGTGTCGGTGTGATACTAAGGCCAAATAAACAATGCATGGATGTGTACCTAAGATCTTGAGGACGCAACAACAGTATGCTTGAACGATCATCATGAACGGGCCTAAGCGGAGAAGTCAACATTAACCCACGATTCATTCTTGAAGCCCGTTTCCAATGAAGCCTCTATGGGAAGAAAAATACAATTCAAGAAAGTAGATTACAAGAAAGAGATTTTCTCTATAATTAAACCAAACCAATCAAACCCAGTATATCTCAAACGTCGGGTCTAAGGATAGGATGTATACAGACCTTACTCTGTCTTGAAAAACGGAGAGGTTGTTTCCAAAAAACCCCGGCTTGCGAAAAGGGTAAGTACAATAAATAAAAAGCACTACTGAAAGCCATAAATTAGGGAAAAGGGGATATTCTCTTACAATCAAATTAGCAAGATAAATCCCAATAATATCGCGGTTTGTAGCAATATCAAGGCCCAGAAGTGTATTGCTATTTACGTCAGATGCCTTTGACTTCGGGTCCTCGACACAACGTCCATTAACAATCCCGAATAAGGTGTGCCCTGAATTTACCTTAAAAAGCTCCTGTTGAACAAGATTCAAAGCTTAAAAGCTTAATGAACTCCAACATTAAGTTAAAAATCTGTAGACACTCGAAAGTCATCATATTACCTCCGGATTTTGTGTTTCAGGCCAGATCAAGAAGTCTTCCCCCACTCGGGATCCAACAATATTCAAATTAAGTCTTCGACAAACCTCAATGTAGATTACGCTAAGCAAAATTGCTGTAAAAACGGTGTCTTGATATCAGGTAAAAATCTTGAGAAATTCTATGAAAAAAAGGAAATGTTGCAATTTTTGTGAGGATTTACCGCTGCCACATCTGGAGCTTAGAACAGAATGCAAATAGGAACATTTTGAATCTATGACGGGTGATCGTTTGAAGCCTCGTGTCTCGAAAAGAACTTTGTTTACTGCCTCCAAAACTTGAATCAAATGGCAACCAATGTCTTTTGAAATTAATTCGACCTCAACTTCTTTTGAAATGGCATCCAACTCAAACAACCACTCATCAATTCTCTTTCCATCCATAAGCATAGACTCCATGTGATTCGAATCTTCGCCATCAGACGTCACCTTGCTACCTTTTCGTTCATTTTCGAATGAATGGGCATCCATCTCACGATTGAAAGCAAGAAATGCCTCATCTTCAGCAGAAATATGCAGCAAAGTCTGCACAACACATGGAGAACAAAGTCAAGCTCAAAAAATTAATTGCATACTAATTTTAACATTTTGAACCACCATACTTGGCATGTTATTGCAAACTAACCAAAAAAACCATTATGATTTGTCCAGAATCGCTCATGTTTTTAACCGTGAGGACTAGCTCAACTAGCAAATATAGGCTAGGTCTTGGGGCTCCTCCCCATAGATTGCTAGTTCGAATCTCCTTAAGGCCACTAGGGATTTTCCAGATTGTTATCTTCAGAGTCTCCACTAGAATTTTTGCAAGAACAATGGGTATTGATAGAGTGTAAATCGTGGGTTTTCCCCTTCTCATTGATCTCATTATATAATAATACAAATTACATTTAGATACCTCTAACTATTCATAATTACATTAACGTATAACCTAGTCTAATAGGTATGTTTGCAATGAAAAATCAAGTACGATGACATGAAAAGTCAATCTCTCCTCAAAAAGGGCATGAACAATTAGGATGCGAATCATTTTCATTTCTTATATGATGTGGGGAAAATGAAGATGTGACCATGGGTCGCGTTACTTGATGTGAGAATAATTAAGATGGGTCCCATTCACTAGTTCTAGCGTAACACACGGGCTTTTCGACCCTTTTGCGTTCTTTACAAGTTGGTAGTTCGAAAAAGTATGAAAAGGGAATCTTTATCTTAGGCAAAGAGGAAATGAACACGAGGCGGCCTAAAAGGAAAGGCAAACACTTACCATAGGCCTCATAGAGTACTATGACCCATCAATTAGATACGTCACTAATTACAACTAAAAGACTGCAAACTATCAATGGTGCAAAAGTTGGGCACTTTAGGAATAATTAGTTAAAGGGGAGTGTTCGACTACCAGAAAGGATAAGGAAGAACATGAATGATCGAGCCTAATTTACTAAAACATATATCAAATATGAACTTAAATAAGTAATCTTTAAGTAACTTGAATGATTGAGCCTAACTTACCAAAACTTACAGAAACATCTATCAAATATGAACAAGAATAAGTAATCTTTAAGTGGAAAAAGCCAAAGTACAATCCACTTTTCCATATCCAATCCACTCTCCTTCCCCTCTCTTCCTAAAACCTAACCAAAATAAAAGAACCCAATCTAAGTAGGGGTCGGCAGAGGGTAAATGTATGCAGACTTGATCTCTACCCCCGAAGAGTAGACCATTTGTTCCCATGAAGACCCCCCGGGCTGTGGGGGGGGGGGGGGGGGGGTTGTGTCCTTTCCCTATCTTCTACAACCATTAAAGTTCAAGAATTACGTATATGTGATCAAAATTGGCCAATAAAACTCGATGTATCTTCACAATCGTGCAAATGGTCAAGAAATTTGAAATTCAAGGCATCGTGTCACAACGCCCTTTATCCCATTTTCGTGATGATGTCTTCCGATACTTACATTATGGAAAGAAAATTATGGGACCACATGAAAAGATAATATTTTTCATGGAAATATGTCTTTTTCTCTTAGCCAATTATTTTTCGATAAAGTAAAGTAAGTCACCTTAGCAAGGGATATGTCTTTGTCCTTGGACTGGAAAGAGATTTCTTGTGTAAAATTTGCTCTAGCAGCAGTCATAACCTGAAGTTTTTCAAGATACCAAAGTCAGATTGTAATCATAAAAACAATTTCAATCAAAGAATTCACAATACCAAACAAGAAAAATCAAGATTTGGGTGAATGGAATTGTATAAATTCATAAAGGGTACTAAAATATCTGCAAAAAGACATGACTTCAGACCTCCTGGTAGAATTTGGGAGAAGAAGAACCACTGGTTTTCAATGGGGCAGCAGCTGCCATGGGTGATAAGCTCATCCTCCTCTTCTTTTGCTTCATCATGGTAGCAAAAGTGGTGAAATCTGTCACGTTCTTCGATTTCTTATCAGCATTTCGGTCAATTCCAGACCTGAATATGATAATTGAGAATTAACCCATGTTGAGAATGAACAATAGAACTAACAGTACCAAAACCCTCATCTGAATTATGCAAAATTAACCAAATTCGATCAAAAAGAAATAAACCCATTTCACTAGATTCTTGAATTAAGAACACCCAAATGAGAAAATAAACGTACCTGAGAAGTGGCCGACAAATTAAAGAAGTAGTCATCTGTTGTTGATGACAAACCCCAGAGACTGAAACAAGCATCATTATGTCTTCAAGAACGATAGAGAAAGAGATTAAACTTTACAAGAAAACAAGTGGGTGGAAATCCACAGAAAGATGACAAAAATGATCGATTCAATTGTATTCTTGAGCAGTAAAATGGGTAGGAATGGGGTTAGAAGAAGGGTTAGACGAAGAAGACGATGATGCAGTCATCAAATTAGAAAAAGTACCAAAAGAAACCGAAGAACAAGACATCAAAGAAGCTGATGAAGATGTAAAGAAAGAAGTTCGATTGTTGAAATTGTAACAGAAGAAGACACCGTTTCTTGAAGGATTACCAGTATTGCCAAGATCCATTGATGGTGGTTTCACTGCTTCTTTACTTTCTCACTCTATATACACACATATACATATAGAGATAGAGAGAGAAAGGAAGAAAGAGGTTGGGAAGAAGATGATGAATAGAAGTTGCGTTTCTTTGGGTTCCATTGTGACAACTTCATTGCAATTTATAGGGTGGTGGTTGAGGGTGCCGTAGAGAGAGTGCAAAAATAGGCTAAAGGTGGATGAACTCTTGATCAATATATAATGGATGGATGGATGGATAAAAAGGTGAGAGGTGTGAGAATGGCTTTTCTGCGAAATTTATGGATATTTGTTGTGATTTTTGGACACTTTATTATGTACGGAAACGAAGAATCAAAGTTATTCATGTGTATTTTCTGATGAAAGTTAGCAATTTTAAATCTAAAAATAGATTTTCAGATTAAATCGGCAAGGAAACATGGGCATTTTTTTACGATAAAGTAAGAGATTCGAAGCGTTCTTAGAGACGATGGTGGATCGAAAACCTTCGATAATCGGAGACGTAGGATGGATATTAGGGTTGTTCAAAAACCCGACCAATCCGATCAACCCGATGAACCCAATCCAACGCAAAGCGAAATAACTCAACCCGATGTCTAATCGAGTTGTAAAATTTTCAAACCGCAGGTATTGAGTTGATATTAGGGTACTATTATTTGAACCCAACCCAACCCGATGAACTTGATATCCTTTTATTTGTTGGATTTAATATGATTATTGACTTTCTATTAATATATGCATTAGACAATAACACTATCATCTACGCTCTTCATATACACATCTTTTCAATCTATTCACATCTCTATATAACTCATTCGTATATATGTTCAGTAATTTTAAACATATATGCGTAAATTGAGAAAAAATTAACTGAATGTAATATATGTAAGAAGTTTAAATAAATTGTATCAAATGGTTAATGATGAAAAATAAATTATGAGTAGAAAAATAACATATTCAAGATTAGAAGAATATTCTAATGTATCAAAGTATAACCCGACCAACCCGTACGGTTTGGGTTGAGTTGGGTTAAGATTTTTCAAACCGCAAGCATTGTGTTGGGTTGATCAAACGTCTTCAACCCAATCAACTCAACCCATGAACACCCCTAATGGATATCGAAATGGAGGATCAGAAAAGTAAAATTTGGAGATTACGATATTATTAATACTATTATAATATTTAATATATTAATAAAATATTATTTATTTTAAAAAAAATTTAATTTAAAACAAAAATTTGAAGTGGGGAAAAAATCAAATCTTCAAAAAATGATATTTAATTCTAATAGCTTCTTTGTTTCTAAGGTTGGAGCAGTAATTATATTATTAAAATATATAATATATTTACTAAAACCAAATTTTACGTCATTTCTCTCTCTCAAATAATTACTTTTAAGAAGTTTTTTAAATTTAGAAAATTTTACCATCTCTGACTTACTTTCTTTATATCATAAAAAGCTTTGAAAAATTTGTTAAAATAAAAAATTAACCTAAAATCTTTATTTTCTGCATTTTAAAGAATTTATTGAAAATACTTTTAATCATCATTAAATATTACCCATTGTGTGGATCATGCCAAAATTTTACGGTAGATAGAGCGTACTGCCTTATTCAAGTATTTGTGGTGGTGGATTTGAATTTTGTGAACCAGTTGACCGAGAGTCATATACCATGAATAGGCATTGTTTGATAAAAAATAAACTAGCTTATTTTCTAGGTATGTATTTGGAAGACCGTAAACTAGCTTATAACTAGCTTATTGAAATGCTACTTAGGCACTTTTAGCAAAAATAAGCTAGTTTATTAGCTAGTTTATATTCTGGGTACACGTTTGGATATACATAAGCTAGCTTTATGAAACGCTACTTTGAGTAGCATTTTGACAACTTATTGTCACTTTTTTCAATTATAACCCTCAGTAATATTAATTGTTATTTATTACTAATAAAATTTAAATATTATCGATATCAAATTATTAAAAATTAATTATACATTAATATTATTTACTAATTATTTACAATAATTATTAATCATATCAATTATTTTCATATTATTATTTTTAATTATTATTAAATATATTTAGTTATCAAAACGAAAATATAACAATTTTAATAATGTTTATGTAACATAAAGATTAAATTTTTTAAGATACCCTTTTTGGTCATTTGACATTCTTATTAGCTAGTTTTACAAAAGATGATGTGTTCATGAGTTAGCTTATCAGCTATAAGTTAGCTTATAACTAACAACTAATTTATCAACTATCAGATAGCTTATCAATTAGTTTGCCAAACATAGTCTTGGAGTTGCATTTTGGGAGCTTATTGTAACTTTTTCCAATTATAACACTTATTAATATTAATTATTATTTATTACTATTAACAATAAATAAATATTAAATAAAAATAATTATATCTATATTAATAATTATTAAATAAAATAAACTATTACTATATTAGTAAATATTAAAC